TTCTTTGGCCACATCATGAGAAGGCATGACTTAATGGCAAAGACAATGATGCTGGGAAAGTTAGAGGGTAGTAGAAGAAGAGGAAGAGGAAAACCAGATGGTTAGACTCAATCAAGGAGGCCCTGGGCCTGGGAAGAGCAACGGAGAACAGGGAATTTTGGAGATGTCCCATCCACAGAGTCGCCATGAGCCGAGGTCAACTGAAGGGCAGTTAACAACAAACAAGAACACCTAATTCAAGTCTCTAGGGCCAGATGAACTGCAACCACAGGTATGAAAGGATCTTGCAGATACAATCTCAGAGCATCTGGACAGAATCCTGTATGGCAGTTATGAATGCGTAACCTATAAGCTTATTGCACAGCACAGCATTTAAAGAACAGGAACGGAACGGAACGGAACGGAACGGAATGGAAAGGAAGGGAATGGAATGGAACGGAACGGAACAGAGCAAAAATGCATTTTACTGAGTGGGAGAATGCCACCAATTCTTCCAGGAGTCCCCAAGGCATTCCCCAGCCATTCCTGGCAGCCAATTTTTGAAGGATGGTTCAAAATCGTTCTTCAAAATTGGCTGCCAGGAATGGCTGGGGAACGTCTTGGGGACTCCCAGCAGCATCAGTGGCATTCTCTTGTGCAGTAAAATGTGTTTTTGCTCTGTTCCATTCCCTCCCATTCTGTTCCCGTTCTTGTAAGTGCTGTGCGATAAGCTTACTAGAGTTACACATTTGTCACTGCTACATATTCATGATTCCTATGTAGCCCCTAGTTTAGGGACTACATAGGGACTGCGAAAGTTCCCCAGTTCCCCACTTACCAGGCAGCAGCTGTTGGGATCAAGAGGGCTGTATCCCCATGTCAATTTGGAAGCAACTGATTAGTGTCTGTCACACTGGAGATCATTCACATGCAGGGGTAGGAACAGCAGTCAGTAGCTTCCCAAGTAACAAGAAAACAGAATGCCATCAAACCTCTCAAATGCTGCCCAGTAAGTGAGGACTGGGGGGACTGGGTTGACAGTCACTGCATACCATCGTAACTATGCTTATGGATGCATTCATAACTGCCATACAGGATTCAAGCCTTTCTCTCTAATCTTTGAGAATTATTGGAGAATAGATATGGTGCCAGGAGAGTGAAAGTAGCAAATGTTGCCTCCATCTTCAAAAAGGAGAAAAAAGAGGACCTGGACAACCACCAGCCAGATTGACAATGATGCAGAGAAGATTCTGGAAAGATAATCAAACTGACAGTCTGACACCTAGAAAATAAAACAGTGATTATTAACAGCTAACATGGATTCCTCAAAAACAAATCACTAATCTTCTCTGTCTTGACCTGTCATTATCTCTTGGTAGAACTAAACTCGGTATAGCTGTGGTTTCAGTAAAGCACTAGAGCTCTCTGGCTGAGAATTCTAAATTTGTTATTTTCATCTGCCTTCAAGTAGTTTCTGATGTATGTCGACCCCAAGGCAAACCTATCACAGGGGTTTTGATGGCAAGATTTGCTCAGAGGGGGTTTGCCTTTGCCTTTGCCATCCTCTGAGGGCATTTGAACCCTGGTCTCCATAGTTGTAGTCCAACACTCAAAGCACTAACCACACTGGCTCTTCATTCATTTTACTAATACAGTGGGCCCTTGTTATCCGCTGAGGTTTGGTTCCAAGATCCCCTGTGGATAACAAAATCCGTGGATATTCAAGTTCCATTAAATATAATGGCACAGAAAAATGGTGTCTCTTATATAAAATGGAAAATCAAGGATTGCTGTTTGGAATTTATCCTTTTTTGGAGTATTTTCAAGCCATGGATGATTGAATCCATGGATACAAAATCTGTGCATAAGTAGGGTTGACTGTATATGCTTTCTAAAATCAGAATACAGCCTTTGATATATCCCTCCTTAAACTGTATGTTGCAGGATTCCATAGGATATTGCCATGCCAGTTAAAGTGGAATTATAATTGATTGAATTACACATATGTAGACAATGCAAAATGGCCCCGGGTCATTGCTTACCCTCTAACTACCCACACAGAAAAGGGAATATGGGACTTCATTTATCCTGCAACATTGCCTCCCTCCAATAAAATGGATCATGAGGAGGCAATTGTTGGTGCATCTCAGTAAAAGGAATTGACAGCCCCAATCACTGTCAAAATTAATTTCCTTATTAATTGCTGTTTTTTAAATTGCTTCCTGAATATTCATGAATTCTCATCACTTTCCCACTCTTCATCTAATATAATTTATTCCTGTGCTTGACAGATTAACCTTGGAGGTGACATTCCCCACCCCACCCCCAGCATTCAGAGTGAACAGAAGAGGAAGCAGAACTCAAGCAAGATGCAAATCCA